AGAATGCTGTGGGGGGTGAGGCAGGGACTCGTCTGTGGCATGGAGGGGGCACGCACGCAGCCTGGGGCAGCTCGCTGCTTGCTCCTGGGGCCTGCTCCGGCAGGACCCTGCTGTGATTGGTGACAAGAAGGGCCTCGTGGTCTCTGTGCTCCAACACCAGGCCCTGGTACCAGCTCCTGCACCCTGGGACTCACCCAGCCTTGAGGCAGCATCCCCCAGCTGACCACCCATACACACCACTGTAAGTCAGGGAAGATGAAGGGCTATGGATGTACATATGGATGTATGGACACTGTCCACACAGGGGCTGTGCCCTTTTTGAAGCCTCTTGCCCTTCCACAGGGCCACACTCTGAGGAGCAGGCAGCCCAGAGACATCACACCCACAGCCCTGCTCTGTCCCTGGAGACAGCCTGCCCTCCCCACACCACATCTGCCAGCACTCACCGAGCTTCAGCAGCCAGCCCTCCCGGTCGGGGTTGAAGAAGGTGTGCGTGAGGTCGTTGCCATCGTCCTCAGGGATTTTGAAGGGCTCGTTCTTGATGCTCTCATAGAGATTCTGGTACAAGACGACACGGTGTCAGCTCTGCTCTGGCCAGGAGCCCTGTGACGGACCAGCGCCATAGCCCATCCCCGGCCCCTCCGTGTCCCACTCCCTCACCCGGAGCAGCTCCTCTGGTAGGTCCCCCCCATCGTTGATGCCACGGTTCATGGCGATGAAGCGCTCGGCAGTGGGTTTGTCCTTGACGTTGGGGTTGTGCAGGCTGGTGTTCAGCATGATGATAGCGAAGGAGAGCACGTAGCAGGTATCTACAGGGGCAGAGGGAGAGTCAGCTGCAAGGCAGGGCCTGGGGCAGAGGGGCCTGGCAGGCACTCACCTGTGGACTGGAAGACGCCGGGGTTGCACTGGCAGTACCGCTGCGCGAAGGCCTCCATCATCCGGTCGATCTTCTGCGCCTCTCCGGGCAGCCGGAAGCTCCACAGGAACTGCCTGGGAAGAGCGAGGGGTCGCGCTGCTCCGGGGGCTCCACACACCCTCTGGCCTCTCACCAGCCCCCTAGGGGCCATGCTCAGCCCTTCCACTCACCGCAGGGCCTGCACGAGGTTGAGGTCAGTGAACTCGTGCAGCTCCACAAAAGCATGCAGGACTTGGATGTTGAACTCGTCCCTGAGGGAACAAAGCCAGAGCACGAGGGCTGCATGATCAGCAAGTGCTGCGACTGCCGAGCATCTCCCTGCCCCACTCTGCACTCAGCTCAAGTCCAGCGCCCAGACCCCTGTGTACCCCCACTCTGCTGCCCTGTAAGCTCAAACTGCTGCAGTGTCCCAGGAGACCCGAGCTGCCCAGGGTCAGCGCACCTCTCGCCCAGGTAGTCACCGATGGCGGTCTTGTTGAGGCCCTCGCCCTTGTAGAGGAACTGAGCGATGTCCTCACACGTGTTCTTCAGCAGGTCATTTTCGATCAGGAACTGGATGCCCTGGAGGGGTGCAAGAGGCTCTGCTCTGGGCCTTGCTGCTGACCCCTCCAACCCCTGTCCCAGCAGGGCTGTGAGGTGGCAGAGCCCAGCACAGCCCCAGCTAGGCAGGTGAACAGCCTTGCTCCTCACGGTACCTTCTTGGGATCCATGTTGAACTTCTTCCTGCCCATGGCCACCTGCTTGTTCCTCTGCATGTTTTTCCTGCAAGGCACAAAGCAGCTTTGAGTACCCAGCAAGGACCTGGCTGCCTCCTGCACACCCCTTTGGGCAGAGCACTGTGGGGAAGGGTCAGCTTGGACCAAGCAGGAGCCCAGCAACTCTGCCCAGGACAGGCCCCTGCACTGACCCTGCAGGGGGCAAAGCTGGCACATGGCTCCAGGTCCCTGGCCTACTCCATGGGGCTGCTTGTGGCCTCCTGGGCCCCAGAGCAAAGAGGAACTGCCATGTCCCATCTACAGGGTTACCCTGTGCAGAGGGGTGCTGGGTACAGCATCCCAACAGGTCACCTCTGCGTGGGGGGGACTAGGGCAAGCTGGGTGCGGTGGGGCTCTGGAAAGAGCAGCCATTAGGCTCCAGTGGGGCCAGTGGGAGGGTGACGGCCTTCATGGCCCAGTGGGTGATTGGACACAATGCTGGGAGTCAGCTCCCACCGGCTGCGGGACCCCAACTGCCGCCCCAAGCCGAAACAACAAAGTTGCTGTGGCCAGACAGAGGGGCTCAGGCTTGGGAAAACAGACCCTGGGAGCAGCAGTTCAGGCCGTGATCCTGCTGCCACTCTGAGGAATTCAAAATGCCTGGGAAAGCCACCAGCACCCACGGGAAAGGGCTGCACTGCTCAGCTGCCCACGGCACAAGTGACATCCAGGGTGGCCTTGCTGCAGCGGAGGGCACTCAGGGCAGCCCTGGGCTGCGAGTGAGGGACTCACCTCTCCTCCGTGGACCCCAGGTTCTCGATCTCATTCGTCACTTCTGCTATCTCATCTTTCAGCCGCTGAGGGAGAGAGTGCACTGAGACAGGAGGTGCCTCCCTCCCTCCCTCCCAAGCTCTCCAGCCCTGATGGTAGCCTGGGCCCATTCCCCCAGGAATGGTCCGTCCCCTCCCTCCTTCCCAGCCCAAGGGGCTGAACCAGCTTGGGGGGCACTTGCAGAGGGGGCTGGCTGCACCCCACTGCAAATCCCCCTCAGCACTGCCATGCTCCAAGTGCGCAGGAAGGAAGAGATTCAGAGGTTAACAGAATTACTCCCTAATCCCTTTAGATCATGCCCAGCATATGGCAGTAATTAGCCTCTGCTGCCTTAATCAGGGACGGGACTGATGAGTCTCCCAGATGAGCACTGACCTCGCAGCCGCTCACCAGGGCAGTGGCCTGACCCAGGGACACAGTCCCTGCCCGTGCCAGGGGAGGGCTGGCAGGGAGACGCCGGTGCCACAGGGAACAGCACAAGCACAAGGCCCAGTGCTCTGCAGGCACCATGGGCTCACAGGCTGCCAGCCTGGCCTTGGCCCTCGCCAGGACCTGCTCCCAGCCCCAGGGCCCCGCAGTGGCAGTGCTGTCAGGCAGCAGATCACGGGCTCCCTGCATCCACCTGTGGGACCAGCTCATCCTGCCCTGCGGTTCCAGAGCTCCAATCTCTTGCCCCAGGTCCATGAGAGCCCCTATGGGCTGGCAAGGAAAGGGGATGGGAGCACAAACCTGACCCACAGCCTTGTCTACTCCTGCATAGGCTGTGCAGGTCTGTAGCACAGCAGCCCAATCCCATGACCGTTAAGGACAACTCTGGCCAGAGCAGCTTCTTCTCCCTACTTCCCTTTTCCCAGCAGCAGGGTGAGGGACCCTGGATGGAGTTGCAGGGACCATGACCAGCGACATGGGCAGGAAGATTGTTCCCTGCCTCCCAGGGGACAGCCCCGGGGAAGATGCTGGTGCATCAGGAGTGGGGGATTGCCCTCAGCATCACACCTGTATGTCAGCCAGCAGCTCCTGCTTGCGGCGGCGGATGTTCTCCAGCTCCTGGCACTCCTCCGGGGTCAGGTCACTGGGCACTGTGTGGAGACACGGTCTGGTCAGCACGTGTGGCCCTGGGAATC